CTAACCACCAGCAGAAGAGATTTGTAACTGCTAGCGAATCAGCGCGTTCTAAAGGCTCATGTGACTTTCATTGAGTCGAACGGATCCGGCCAATTGTGGGACGGTCCAATTCGAACTGGCCGCTTCCTTCTGAACACAGCGAGGGGGAAATAGAAATCTGACATCGTGTTTTATGAGACTTTTCAAACTTATGCATTTTTATTCATTTATTGGTAAACCTAAATTTTGAGCGTCCAAAAATGTTTCTTGGGTGCAGTTTTGCGTAAAATTATTCACAGTTTTAAACAAATTAAATATGTTTTCGCTCCTCGTGTTCCATTTTCCTCCTGCCCAATGTTCGTGCTCCGACTCAGACCCCACGAATTCGTCGAATTCCGAACCTCGACTCGACTTCGCCCATGCTTAGATACTAGTCCTAGCTAGAGCTGGGCGAAGAATTGATTTCGGAACCGATTCCCACGATTAATGCTACGAAAGAAAAGTTCCGACTCCTTTTTAAATCAACCGACGGTTATCAGTTACTTTAATAATTCTAATCTCCTTTTTTTTTAAAGTTATTTTTGAAAAATAAAAGTTTTTGCTTTGTAGTGTTCCGAAATCAAGGTTATCCTAAATCCTGAAGATTTTCTATGCCAACCAGGTAACCAGTGGAAGAAATCACATTATTAAAATGTAAGTAATTGGGTTCGGAGACGATTCCTACGATTCCTATCTTTAAATAATCGGGAACCTAGCCGCCCAGCACTAGTCCTAGCGTGTCAAACGAATCCCAAACAAACGTGGGAACTGTGTAGATTGCATTTTCGTTCGCACTAGCTGATGTGTAGATAATGGGAAATTGGAATTCCCAGATTTGCATTCATTTTTCCGAGAAAAGGTTTCTTCGTTCTTGAAATCCGGCTACGAGGAAGAGCACTTACCCCTTGGTGCGGTGCTGCCACTAACTTTCACTAAGTGTCTTTAGGTCATTCCCAAAGTGGGGATATTTCTTGTTCATGCACAGTAGAGTTGTAGATGGGCTGATTCATCAATGTCACGCTCATTACTGTGCCTGATCTACAACAGGGAACTGCTGCTTTTTCTTTTCTAATCCTTCCTATTGTCATTTTGCCTCTACTTCTTTTGTATGTTTGTCACAATCTTGTGACCCACTATTTCTGGGGTGCCTTGACAGTCAAAGCAGACTTTGTGCTGTTGAAGCAAGAGAGGTGAGCAGAGTAAGTATGATTCCCTGTAAGGACTTCTCTGTTGACATCCACACCTTGCAAGCTTGGCGCTCATATGACCTTATGAAGTTGTGAGCGCCGTAAAACAAAAAAAAAGAAAAACAAAGAAGAGCACTTCCGTTTATTCGCGTTTTATTCTGATTATTTTGTTATTGTATGTTATTATTGTGTTTTGTTGGGAATGTTAAATGTTCAGAAACTTCCAAGTTAGGTATATTTTTAGAATATTGACTCACACTCACACTCTGGCCTAGCAATTTTCTGTTTTTCTTTGGCGTACACTGTGCTTTTACAATATGTTGAACTAGATCTAGTGTGTTTATGCATGTCTGGTCTGTCTTTATATTTGTCTGTCTGTCTGTCTGTCTGTCTGTATATATAAATCATCTAAGTGTATGTGTTTGTGTGTGTGTGTTTGTATGTGTGTGTGTGTGTTTGTATGTGTGTGTGTTTGTATGTGTGTGTGTTTGTGTGTGTGTGTGTGTGTGTGTGTGTGTGTGTGTGTGTGTGTGAGAGAGAGAGAGAGAGTGAGAGAGAGTTTTGATGTACGCTTTTTAATGATATTGTGTCCTTGATTAAAGCATTTTAAACAAAATTTCATCTCTTCAACCCAGACAAATTCTGGATACTTTCATAAAACAGTGACATATTTTTTCAGTATGTTAGTTTGAGTGACTGTAAAATAGTTCCTTGCACTTATTGTTTCCAAGGAACCTGAGAAAGTTTTGGAAAGATGTCGGGTCTGTGAGGGTAATAGTGTATTGTAAAATGCATAGACTGTACCTTTGAGTAGGGGGTCTATATAAAATGCAATTTCTATTATTGTTAGATCAAATGCTCCTTGCAGTCTCGTCTTTTTCTTTCTTTCTAAAAAATTTGTATTGTGGAAGGTTATGTTGTTTTGGGAGGGTTTGTTTGTTGTTTTTTATTTGTTTTGTTTTTTGTGTTTTTTGTGTTTTGTTTGTTTGTTTGTTTGTTTGTTGTTGTTGTGGGTTTTTTGGGGGGGAGGGGGGTCCAGAAAAAGCCACTACCCCTTGTAATGTATAGTCCCCAAGAAGGTGATGATTTAGAATGAACAGGCTGACTTAAGGAGTCATGTGAAGTTGTGGGAGCTTTGAAAGAGGTACATGGCTGTAACTTTATGCAGACTTTTGTCTTTTGTAATGTCCTAATCTGTCCATGGTAATGTTTTTGTTCTGACTTGCAATGAAGAAAAACTTAACATTGATGGGGAAAAAATGATGTGTTATATTTCTGATGTTTCAAAATAGGTTTTGACATATCCACTGTCATAAGAAGCAAGAACTATTGGGATATTTCAAGATGGTTTTTGACATTATATCCGTTGAAATAACGAATTATGTACAGGATGTCCCGGAATAAAGTGTGTGTGGTTGGTGGGCGGCACTGGTAGGTCCTACTTCTTCACTTTCCCTCTTGTTTCAGTCTGCCTGTCTTACTTTTTCCCAGCACTTAACGACCATTATTGTGTAGATGATGTGCTTCTCTTTACTCAAACTATAAAAAAAACCGACAGAATAAAGTGTCCGTTTTTAAAAGCTCCTAGTTCAATGATTGAACAGAAACAGAAATTTTAGTTTTCCATGGAAAGGGCAGTCAAATACGTTTTTTTATTATTATAGTGTTGTCAATATGTCACTCGACCAAAATTAAACTAAAATAAAGTGAGAATTGAACCTAACCCAAAAACGAACATAAATGGAATGCTACACAAGGCATTCAGTATCACACTCAATTTTTAGTGAAATGTTCCAACACTTGACACACCAAATTAGAGTGACATAAAACTCGCCGCGACCTCAAACAATTTGAATGAAGAAGTGAATGATGAGGACAGATTTTACCTTTCTACAGTGATAGAAAATACTCAAAACGTGCTCCCTACCCCTCGACACACCGCCTAGCACATCTGGGTAAATTTTCTGTCACATTCTAGCCACTGATTTGTGTCGACCTTTATTTGGTCATTTGCCTTATTTCATGCTTCATTTCACATTTCACTTTTGTGCCCTTAAGTGCTCACAGGATTTGCGGAAACCTTTCATTTCCAAAAATTTTGGTGATTTCGTTTTTGTTGGTCGTAATATTTAGCATTGTGTTGGCAAAAGAGTGAAACAGTTGTTTTCCCCTATTGGTTCTTATATTTATTTAAAAAACCTTTTAGCGATAAAAGTTTGGTATATCTATATTATATTTGTGAAAGTTCGTCACTTTGGTCGCCTAAAACTTCCGTACCACTTAAGTTTCGAATTTGAACAAATTAACTGTTGTTCAGTACCATTTAAAGGGTGCACAGTTATATTAAGGAGTCTGAAGTCACTGTTGTTTAATTTTCAGTTTGTCAATAGTCTCGTTTAGATCTAATCTTGGGAAAGTCCGTCTTCTAAGACGCCATTGTAAACAAGTGAGGCTTCTGTTCACAAACAGTGTGCACTGATTCCACAATGACTTGACGATCGATACTTTAGAGTCCGTTCCTCGAACGGGTACCAAGCTAGTGTAAAAATATATTTGAACTATTTTTAACATGCAATTAGGTTTTTTTAAATCAACTTGGCAAGTACGAAAATATAGCCATTTAAGAGTGTTCTTTTGTTTGTGTTTTCTAAAGTTTTGTTTTGTTTTGTTCTTGTTTTTGTTGCTTTTTTGGGGGGAGGGGGGATACTGTACATGATGTGTTATGTTTCTGAATTGTCAAAGTACTTTCTGACTGTCTTGTTTCAGCTAGTGGGCACCCTGGTGTAATTTGCTCCTTCTTTCCTATCAAACATCTTTCACTTTCCTTCTTTTTCCAGTATGTTACTCTGTAGTAACACCTCTAATCTTCAGCTCTTATATGGCCTATTTGTATTCGTTACTAAAACTGAAACTACTTTGTTTCAGGTGTTGTGTCAATGATTAAAGTAATACGTCCATGATGATAATAATAGATATGATGTCTAATTTCAGATGTTGTTTAAAGATGGGTTTAGGGCGTGAGCCACCTTCTTACCATCTGTACCAATGGCCTCAGCAGAGACGCCCCTATGTGTACCACCACCTGAACACCGTAGACCACAGCAAACTCATCCACCAAGCCAGCCCCCAAAAGAATATCTACAAAGCCACATATCCCCATGAGGGCTATGGTACTTCGCGGTTTCCGTATTATAATACATATTCTAACCCTCCCCCTGGGTTTGGCTCGGGACAAAGCGCAAGTCAGCTTCCCAGTGGAGATTTGTCATTCGTGAATGGAGACCCCTCAGTTTATCACCAGAATCAATGTCAGCAACAACTGCAAAACGGTAATTTGTATGAAAATGCGTTCGGGCATCAGTACGTTCAGCAAAACATTGATGTAGCCGTAGCACCTGGAAATGTGGAGCCAAGCGATGTGGCAGCCCAATTAGCACAACCCCTGCATCTGACACCCTTTCATGCAACACACCATCCTCCTCCTCCTTCTCACCACCATCATTTTCAGCAACAGCAGCAGCAAGTCTTGGGTACTTCCCCTGAGATGGCCGGCCATCAAATGACGATGTCAGAGCTGCCTCAGTATACTTATTACCACCAACACGGGCTTGCCACATATGGGATGCCTCCAACTGTGTACGTCCAGGCTGACCCAGGGCCGTACGACAGGAGCGCAGCATTTTACAGACATATGCCAGAGCTGGGAGAGCAATACCAAAGCACAGTGGAACAGTCTTCTGGCACAATGAGTAACATGGGAAGACAACGTTTTAATTCAGCTCCCGATTTGGCTGTCAGGGCACAAGGGCAACAGCCGGACCATCAGAGTCAGACCTTGAATTTTGCCTCGGAGAAGATGTCTAGTGGCACAGAAATTCCAGAAGGTTCCATGTCCTCTGGTCACAACCATCAGGTATATTTTTCATAATGGAAATTTCACTTTGCTTGCCTTCAGGACTTGTATCGTGTCAGAAAATATAATTTGGTAAAGTTTAGTTGAGGAAAGGTGAGCCTAAAGCAGTCATTATTAATAAAGTTTTTTCATTTTGAGCCAAAATTTAGTAATTTTTTGTCTCTAATTATTTCATGAGATAATGACACTGGTGCTGACTTTGATTGTCTGTTATAATGGTACGTTTATATTTTCTCTTAAAAGTTTTTTTATAACATAATGTAATACATTACATTTTTTCCTTTTTTTCATATAGAAATACTATTTTTTTTCTGAGCATAGAAAAATTTAAGGTATTGGCCAAGAAAGCTTTGTTTAAAGAATACTTCTGAAATGTTGATTTCTTTACAAGATGATGGACAGGTATCCTCACACACTCACACACACACCACACATAGACACACACATACAGACAGACACACAGCTGCACTCACACTCACACACACTCTCTCTCTCTCTCTCTCTCTCTCTCTCTCTCTCTCTCTCTCTCTCTCTCCTTCTCTTTCTCTCTCTCTTTCATACATGCACACTCAAGCAAAGACATTTGACGCACGTAAAATACCCCACACAATCCATCTTCCTGAACCCCTCTGTTCTCCCCTCCCCCCACATTGTTACAAACAATTATCCCCTACGCTCTTTGTTTATACCCAAAACACCCCTCTTGGTACAAATGCAAGTCCTAAATAAAATATTTAGAATTATTTTTCAGCAAAATCCTTAAAATATATGAATAAGATATAGTACAAAGGTCTGTCTCATAGATACTATTGTATCTTTCCCTCTTGACATTTCTTTTGATTCTCAGGGTCGGTATAAAGGATCTAGTCGTGGTATGCAGCTCAAGCGTGTAAAACAGGAAGCAGTCCGTTATATCCAGTCTGTTTGCCCCTATCTAGGACGGAAGTCGTTCTGTCTACCTCCTGTGGACAGGTGGGCAGCATTATAGTTTTTCTTTCTGTTTTCTTCTGGGGGAAGGGGAGGGGGGGGGGGGGGGGGGGCTTGAGCACGTCCATGATTGTTCAGTAAGAGGCAAGAGGCAGGTAAAAGAGTGCCAATGGTGGATCCTCCATCCTTTTCCTGCCCTCAGTTAATTCAGGCTTTTTACAATGGCATCCAAAAGAAACTTGATCATATCATCACATGAATAAATATATAAATATCTCATGCACATATTTTTTCCATACTTCTTTTTCATTATTTGAATAAACAAGGCCCCATAAGTAATGTAATTCTTTTTACTCCTTTTTGTGATCTGTAATAAACCTGTAGGTCTCGACACCCTGACAAGTCCAGCAAACAACTTGTCCTTGGAGTGGAGGCAGAGAGGAGGGTCATGGGCTCGTTTGAACGCTACTTTGTTGAACGTGAAATACCGGTGTTCATGCTGTGCCATTACCCTGTGGGAGGATTCCTGAAGCACACACCTTTGTGGGAGAGGTAAAGTAGACTATACCGATATCTGAGGTGAAATAATTAACTTTTCTTGCAGGTGATTGGCAGGTGCTCTGGTGTGGTTGGTTTGCTCCTACTTTCCTATCAAACATCTTTCATCCTGATCTCTCCTCTTTCTTTTTATGTTTGTTACTCTCTTGTAACACCTCCAATCTTCGGCTCTTATATGACCTCATTGTGCTGAAAGTGCCTTAAAACTCTTATTAAAGCTAAAAGTCTTCCGCCTTTCATACAGATGACATGAATTTGATTCCCATGTGGGAGGTTAACTTATTGAGTGTCTCTGTTTGTCTTCTGAATCCCACTTAGTCGGAGATCGGTCTGACAGACAGAATAGAAGCGGCATACCTCCTCATTGGTCCAAATTTTGGTAGAAGTGGGTGGTTGATGAGTGCTCTGGTGTGGCCTACTTGTTCTACTTCTTTTCATTGATAGTAACTATCAGCCATATTTGTTCCAAGCTGGAAGAATGAGAGGTTGAAGGGTTCCACAGGTAGGTCTTACTTCTTTACTTTTCCTCACTTCTCTCTCACCTCCCCAACACTGAATATAATATTGTTTTCATGTCGATGTACTTCCCTTTACTTAAATTCATGTCTTACCTTAAGAGAAGCTTGTCTAGTGGACTCCTCAGAAACTACAGCTCACCAACAATTGTGCTCTGTACCATGCTCTGTCTATCCGACTCATGCTCTGTCTATATCATGTTCTAGCATATCATGCTGTTCTGTCCGAATCATGCTCCATTTATACAATGCTCTGTCTTAATCATGTTCTGTCTATATCGTGCTGTGTCTATATCATACTGTGACGGCCTTTTGGTACCTACTAATATTTGAATTTTGCACCCCTCCCCCCCAAAAAAAATGAAAAAGCTTTCAGCTTTCAGAATTTTCATCATTGACGGTTGCTGCTGGTGCTTGCCATGTCAGTTGCCTCCATTCTTTTTCACTGATCAATTGATTGTGATTTTGTTGGTTCTGTCGTGCTTGCTATGTTCTCAACATACAATGATGTCACTGATGAACAAGGATAGTGATATTTATTTTTGCTTATCTTGAATTTCATATCTTCTGATGAAGTAATATGTCTTGTAATTCTTGTAAAGGAGGAATTAGGCTACATCAAAGTCAGTGTAGTGTTATATAATTCTGTAAAAAGGAGGAATCTGACTTAATCAGAATCAGTGCTGACACATTACTTTAGATGGATTCTTGCTCAGCAACTTAAACCTGCACCTGGCAACTAGTTATCTCATAGTGATGACTTACAGCATATTTGTGTCTGGAAACTGAAGCAGAAATGATCTGATTTTGGTAGTCACTTCTAAGCATCACAATAGAAGTTTTGAACAGAGATAAGTTTTAGAGGCAGTCGATGCCGAGAGTGGTTGCCACCTTTTAAAAATAATGCTAGTCCAAGGAAATTATGATTGTACATGTACAATACTTTTTGCACTTCAATTAATCCCTTTGGAAAAATTTGGGTTGCTCTGGCAATTATATTACAATGATACCATAATTCTTCAATCTGACTATGTTGGTACTCTTGTGGTCCTTCTTGTGCAGCATCGTGTTTTGGGTTTGGTTTTTTTTTTAGCTATGGTCATCGTGTGTTGCTCAAGGACACTAGTGAGGGACCACCTAAAATAGCAATGTGTCGCAGACAGATACATTTGACATCGCTGTGAGCCTAAGCTCACAAACCACTCGACCGTTCTGTATCAGGGATGGTGTTTGAATTGCTATTCATTGTACATTGAGCCACAGTTGAAGACAAATCAATGGGTGGTTGGCGGGTGCTCTGGTGTGGTTTGCTGCTTCTTTCCTATCAAGCATCTTCGTCCTTTGGTCCTTATCTCTCCTCCTTCTTTTTTTGTGTTTGTTATTCTCTTGTAACACCTCTAATCTTCGGCACTTACATGACCTTATTATGTTGCAAGTGCCGTAAAACTCCTACTAAAACAGAAAACTAATTAACTGCTCATTATAAGATTCTGTCTTGCATCATTTTTCAAAATGACGTATGGTGGAGTCTTACACTAAGCAGTCAAAATGACTGAAAACTTTGATCCGGAAAAGAATTATACTTTTTTTTTTTTTGCATTTAGCGGCTGTCCTGTTATGTTCTGTGGACAAGAATTTGTTTCTCAGAAAGTTATTTCTATGGCAACAATAGAAAAACCATCAAAAGTCCAATTTTTGACTTATACACATGCACACATCCAAAACACAAACACACATGTGCCCACACACACCCATACTCATTCATGCTCTTATACACACAAAGTCATAAATACCCACATGCACACACACACACACACACACACACACACACACATGCACACACGCGCACGCACACACACACACACACAAACACACACACACACACATGTACAGGCAAACGCACTCAATCCCTCCTCCTGCATCCCCTTTGTTCAGTAATCCCCTCTCACAAATAATGAGATAAGCCGCGGGCCTACGACCGACAGTGACACCTAGGAACATACAGACAAACCAACTGATACCCTCTAACCCTCTCCGCAATACATGTTGACCTCCTCCCCCGCCTGTCCCCCCGGGGCGGTGCCAATGACTGAAGTGTCTTTAGGCCTTTCCCAAAGGAGGGACATTTCTCGTTCTAATTCACAGTAGAATTGTAAATGGACTGATCTAACAATGTCATGCTCATCATTGTGCCTGAACTACAACAGGGAACTGCTGCATTTTCTTTCGTCATCCTTACTATCGTCATTTTCCTATACTTCTTTTATATGTTTGTCACACTCTTGTGACCCGCTATTTCCAGGGTACCTTGATAGTCGAAGCAAACTTTGTGCTGTTGAAGCTAGAGAGGTGAGCAGAGTAAGTCTGATTCCCTGTAAGGAATTCTCTGTAGACATCCAACCCTTGGCACTCATATGACCTCGTGCAGTTGCGAGCACAGTAAAACCTCTACTAAAACTAAAACTCTCCCTCCTGTCCCCAGTGGGCGAGGTCCCCCTCAAAACCATAAGGAGGACACAGTCACCTTGCTGCTTCTGTCCAATGTGTTCAGCGTAACCGTGGTAACGGTGAGCATTGTCAATGGCAGCTCAGAGTTTGTGTACATCCAGAAGGCAGTGAACCTGGCGGCCCTGAAGATGAAAATGTGTGTGAATTCTGTGTCGCACTGGCTCAAGACTTTGGGAATCCGTACGCCCATACAGCAAGTGATGGCCTTCCCCAACCTGAAAAAATCTATGATGAGGCGGATAGTCCAAGACAAGGTCAGTTTTTGTGACTTACTATCTCTTCTGAAAACTCATTGGGAGCATATGTGGTTGGCGGGTGCTCTGTTGTGGTTTGCTCCTTCTTTCCTTTCAAACAGCTGCCGTCCTATCTCTCCTCTTTCCTCTATTTGTATGTTATTGTACTGTGACACCTCTTATCTTGTGCTCTTATGGGATCTAATTGTGTTACAAATGCTGTAAAACTTTTACTAAAACTAAAACTCATTAGGAGTGTTATTTGTGCAGATGGTGTGGAGGAAGCCTGTGGGAAAGCCTATGTCTTTTCATCTCCTGTATTGATTCTGTCAGGTTGTTGTTTTTTTCACAGGACGAAATGAGTATTCTTTGGTCCATGTGCTTCTGTTTTCTCAAATTTCACCATTCGCTCAGTTATTATTTCTGTGGACTTTAGTTGATCATGATTTGGATTCCCGCAGAGGCATTTTTTAAGCTGAGCTGTAGCGGAGTTATTGTGGGCTTGCTTCCCTCTACTTGACTTGGGTCTATCAGAGGTCAACAATAAATTTGAGCTCCCACCTTATGAGCAGTTGCACTGCATTGAAAGTGGTGTACAAACCTATACTGAATGGAAGACTCGTTGAAATAGAATTAAAGTATCACTTCTTGTGTTGTGAGATAAAAACCCTAAGCCAAATAAACAGGTAGTTGGAGAGTGCCACTAATAAATCAGATTTCTTCTTAATTGTCCTGCTGTAAGCCACTTTTCTCCTTGACAATAGTATAAGGATAATAATGATTGCAATAGTCACAGTACTCTAATTGATGCCTCTGAAGAAATTTGGGTTACTCTGGCAATCATAATAAACAAGTGGCTGTCTTGGACGGTTTCGATGGTGTGTTAAGTCACATGATATATTATGTATGTCACATCAAAAGGAACTTACACACATGTCACCACTTGTCACCATTGTTCAGGACTCTGCTTAGTACTAAAGTTATCGATATCTTTTGCCAAAGGGCACCATTTCACAGACATGTTAGACATCTCAGCAAACCTCGGCTGGCAAACCACTCGGCCAATATGGCCATTGTTGTGGCAAGGACTAACCATATACTAAGCCAGACATGGGCATGGATATCCAAACGCACGCCAGATTAAGCAATTTGAAATATCTTGCGGGAGAAAAATTAGGTGAAATTGGTTGAAAAACCCGAGCTCTCTAGTGTGAGATTAAAACTGACACTGTAGAATATAATATTTCACTCAAGGGTATTTCATAAGATAAAATAATAAATCAATTACTTCCAGCAGGGTCAAGTTTTGTTTTTATTAAGTATCAAACTAGCAGTCAACTATCCCTGAAATCTAGCAAGAGAGCACATAAAAGAAGAAGATTAATATCAACTCAGGACAGGCCCTGTCCATTATTCATTACTGGGACAACTTGTCGGTCAGACTGAAACTGCTCTAAACATTCTATGTGGCATCAGTGGCCTAGTGGTTAGGCTCTCGGACTCACAACAGTAAGGTCGTAGGTTCAAATACCATCTGGGGTCCGACGTTGTGTCCTTTGGAAAGACACTTTACATAAATTTTCCTCACTTCACCCAGGTGGAAATGGGTACCCGGCTTTAGACAGTGAAAGATCTTGATTGTTAGTGTTTGAACATGTGAAATCCCCAGAATACGCTGTATGCTTCTTTGGAAGCCAAGAGTGTTTTAGGGTCTGCTGGGGTAATAATGGTTGTAAAACGCATGGAGCAATCTGTAGAACGTGGATATGCGCTTTATAAATGCAATTATTATTATTATTTTTCCATCTGGTTTCAGGTGTTTCTGCAGCACTTTGGCACAGTGACCACTCTGAACCAGGACCACCTGTCCGCCCAGTTTGAGGAAGAGTGGTCGACTGGTGTGCACAAGGTCCAGTTCTCCGATTGGATGGAGAAGGAAGTATTGTACAGCAAGGTGACCTTGACCCCCATGGAGCTGAAGACACTGCTTGGTGCCCTGCTGTGCCCGGGGTTAGTTTTCTAAATTGTTGGTACAGTGGCTGGGATGCCACACTTGTTACATATAAATATACATACACACACACGCACTCAAGCATGCGCGCACACACTATTATTAATATTAATATTATTATTATTATTATTTTATGTTACCCTATGTTCAGCTAGCTGCAAATGAGAACCATGGCTGGGATGCAGCACTTGTTACATATAAATATACATACACACACACGCACTCAAGCATGCGCGCACTCACTATTATTAATATTAATATTATTATTATTATTATTATTATTTTATGTTACCCTATGTTCAGCCAGCTGCAAATGAGAACCATGAATGGAAAGACAAGGAAAGATCTTGTCAGTTTGTTAGTGTTGGAGCACTTTTAATCATCTATATGCGCTGTGTGCTTCCCTGGAAGCTGAGAATGTTTCTGGGTGTTCTTTGGTCTGCAGGGGTAATAGTATTGTGTAAAGCGCATAGAGTTTGCTGTAGAGCGGGGTAATGCGCTTTCAAATGCTGTTTGTTATTATTATTATTAAATGTGTGAAAAACTAGGTTTGAGTACCGTACAATTTGCCAAGATGAATCTACCTCGCAGAATATGCACGATCTGCCAAGTACTCAAATCAAAGAATTTGGGTCTCTGTTTTTTTCGTGGGATGGGGGGGGGGCAATTGAAGAATCCCAATCGGACTAGCATAAAAGCCAGTTTTTTTCTTGAGTTTTGTTTTTATCAGATCAGATCAGTTGTGGCTTTTTATAAATGGCATGAAAATACAGTCATTTTTATTTGCATTTATTTTCACTATTTGTGCAACTTAGTTTCAGTGTCATGAAAATGCCCATTATTATTTGTGTTTATTTTAGTGTATTTGTAGTGCGCTGCATGTTTCATAGTTCTGTGGCCTGTATAAGTGGGTGTTGGAGAGTGCCGCTGGTAGGTTCAACTTTTTTTTATTCCCTCCATTTTTTTGCATCTGTGTTGTGGCCTTTTTCATGGACTAAATGGCCTTTATTGTGTTTCATGTACATGTCTTTACTCAAGCAAAACTGTGGTGCACTCAACGACCGGCCTATTCATCTCCTCTCTACCCCCCCCCCCTCTCTCTCTCTCTCTCTCTCTATCTCTCTCTCTCTCTCTCTCTTTCTCTCTCTCTTTCTCTCTCTCTTTCTCTCTCTCTCTCCCTCCCTCTCTCCCTCCCTCCCTCCCTCCGTCCCTCCCTCCCTCTCTCCCTCTCCCTCTGTGCATGTGGTTGGGGGGACCACTGGTAGGTCCTACTTCTTTACTTTCCGTCTGTATTTTTCTGTCTGTCTTACTTTTCCCAGCACTAAATGATAATTATTGTGTCAATGTGCATCTTTTTATTCAAACTAACAAACAAACCAACAATCTTTCTCTTGGTCCTCAGCTTGTCCAAAGTGAGCTACACAGAGAATCTGTCTTCCATACCCCCGGTATCTGCCCAAGTGCCTCAGCCCGAGACAGAACAAGACACAGTGGATGTACCTATGTTTTTCTCATAATGACTTGTAGATAAATGTGAGGCGTGCTGACATAGTGAGTTACTTTTCAGATATTAGCCCTATGGACATTGATGCATCAAATTTTTTGGCTGAGTTTATACAAAGCATTTGTATGAAATGGTAAAAGAAATGTTAAGCTTGAAGAGAATGGCACCCATTAATGATCTACGAATTTGACCCCTGTGACGATTTTTGTCCCATATCTCCATCCACGGACTGCGAGAAGTAACTCATTTTGTCAGCATGCTTCACAAATGTTTACCAGCAACTGTGGTTTAACAATTAGGAGCTTCAGTGACACACTCGGAAGACCTGAGTATGAGTCCTGTGTGGTGTGTGTGTTGTTGGAGAGGGGGGGTTATCGAATGTCTCAGTCTTTCTGCTTGGACAATGTGTCTCTCAGCCCAGGTTGGGCCTGACAAGAAGGGTCAAAGCCCACCTCCTAAATGATCGAAGTTTTGTAGATGGGGGGCGTAAAAACATAAAAACACCTACATTTTTAAGAAAAAAAGGAAAAAGATGAGGTTATGTTTTCGTGACAAGTCTTCGATCGGACGGGTACATCTTTTCAGAGAATATGCAGGGAATGTACTTCTATTCTCATACTGTGGGTTGTATATGTTTTTGTATTTGCTCTTGATAATATGTGCATATGTATATTTTTCAGTTACACCCTTTGGCTAACTTCAATTTTCTCTTAACCAAATGTATGATTGTGTATATTTTCTCAAAATACAGTGTAGATCCTTATACACATACATTTTTTCACATAACACGGTGGATATTTAAAGATATTTTCTTTTGATTCTCTGCGCAAGTATTGGAGTCAGAAGATGAAGTTCTCCAAAATATCTCCGGGCATGAAACTTTGAACACTTCCCTTTCCCACCCCACCCCTCCTTTCAGGATGTAAGCCAGCTGAAACTGACAATTGACGGAGTGACTCGTGGATTTGACCAGTTTATGGAAGAGTATGTCCAGTGCTACTACCCTAATGTGGAGGAGCAGACATACAGAGTGCCACCTATCCACTTCAACATCCAGTCTTTCCAAAAGCCCTCAGACTGTCTTTTTGAAATGGAGCACCCAAATGACCCAAGGGTGGCTGAGGGGTCGCTGAAAAAAGAAGTGCAAGAGTTCTCTTCCGGACCGGCCCAGGAACAGAATGGCTCTGGGAAAAAAAAGAAAGGAGCTGGCGGCAGATCTGCTAATGTCTTGCCGAAAGATGAGGAGAGTAAATTGTTCATGCCTAAGAGCAAACCGTATAAGTGGTCTGTGTGTTCACGCGGCTGCCAAGAATGCGCAGGTCGCTCCGTATCAGCCAAGGGAGAGAATCATGCAGGAAGCAGCCAAGAATCCTCGCTGAAATCCGTGGAAGTTACAAGGAGGGACCAGCTCGTACTGCGAGATGGGAAGCTGACGTTTGTTGGGGGGGCATCCCATGAAGCCGACACTGATGGAGGAAGAGGCACTGTGAAAAGCGATGCAAAGCCCGTGTCCGCACCCAGAAGTGGCAAGCTTCCTTTGATGGACTCTCTGAAACTGTCCTCTCCGAGCTCATCACCGCCAGTGTCTCCTGTCTCACTCTCATCCTCTCCCTCGCTATCCTCATCCCTGGACGGTCTGAAAAAAGACAAGGCTTCCCCAAAGTCTTCTCCAAGGAGGAAGAAAAGTAAACAGAAACAGGCGAGAGCGGAAGCGCTGCGCGATGTGGATATTTTGACTCCGGTCATGCTGAAAGATGTCCGAGCTGATGAAGGTGAGTGGGTGGTTGGTAGGTGCTCTGATGTGGTTTGTTCACTCTTTCATATCAAACATCTATTTTTATCATTTTTTCTCCTTCTTTTTTGTGTTTGTTACTCTCATGTAACAGCTCTAACATTCTGCACTTGTATGACCTTATTGTGTTGCAAGTGCCATAAAACACTTATTAAAACTAAACTGATGAAGGTGTAGCTGCCTTTTGTTTGTTTCTGTGTGTTTGTACAGGTGCTTCCAGCGGTGGCAAAATTGTGAGGATAGCGCCATAAAACATAATAATATACTCGAACAAACGAATAAGCTTTGCTCAGGGAAATATGAGAGAACACTGATAGCTCAGTCAATGTCACTTAGAACTAAGGTATGTGGGTGGTTGACAGGTGCTCTAGTGTGGTTTGCTCCTTCTTTCTTGTCAAACACCTATCGTCCCGATTTCTCTGTCTCCCTGTTACTCTCTTGTAACACCCAGTCTTCGTCACTTTTATGACTTTATTGTGTTGCATATGCAGTAAAACTCTTACTTAAACTAAAGCCAAATCAGATGAACTGGGCAGGACGGCCCAATTTATGACAGATACCGGACTTCAAGTGTGATGCGATCGAGATTGAGAAATAAGACTAGTCGAACAAATAAGCTTCGGGTAGGGAATTGTGAGAGAGCACTACTAGCTCAGTTGCTGTCTCGTAGAACTATAGGATCCATGACCCTGGTTAGAATCCGCAGTGGATCTTTCTTGAATTCAGGTTGTTTGGGCGAGTTTTTACGGGTGTCCTCCATCTTGGCAGGGTCATTTTGGGGAGGGATGTTAAGTTTTAAGAGCCCTCCTCTTGCATCTGTGCTACATATATTGAAATGTATGTATGTTTTGTGGATGTTTGATGGATGGTCTGGTGTGGGTAGCTCTGTCTCTCCTATCAAACATTTATTGTCCTTACCTCTCCTCCTTCTTTTGTTTTTGTATCTTGCTCTCTAAGAACACCTGTAATCTTCGACACTTACAAGACCTATTTGTCTAGCAAGTACCTTAAAACTTGTACTAACACTAAAATATTTATGTTTGTCTATCTCTGGTGCAGGAGAAAATCGTGTTGTGAGCGCACTCGAGTTGCTTGGTCACCGCCACGGCCCCATGTTCATCATCTGTGCCTACCAGTACAACAACTACCTGAACAAGCTGCGAGAGGAGATGTTCTCGAAGGGCGAGGCCGTTCGGCCCGTGCGGGCTTTTGGTCAGACGATGAGAGCTGAACACGACTGCCTCATTCTGCACAAGGTAGGGATTGTTGCCACACATCGTTCATGCCTGGAGTTTGAGTTTGCAATGTCAATTGTATTTGTATAATATTCCGGTTTTTAGTTGTTTTTAAGATGATTGTGATGAATAGTAATGGATGTGTGGATAAGGGGATGCACGCACTGGTGTGTTTGTTTAGGGAAATGCATGTGTGTGTATATAAGAGAAGTGCTCTTTGAACTTTTGATTTTGAAGAAACTTTGTCAGAGTTGTTCATTTTTATGTAGTAAAATTTTCACTTGTCAAAACAGCGTATGTCAACCACCCAGGATGTTTAAGAATATAGTCATGGCACACGTCAAATCAAAGTTCATTGCATGCAGAAGCTGACAGTATGGGAATTGTGAATGTATGACTTGTCTTTGTTGATGAAAAGGTTAGGAAGAAAAAATGGAAGAGATAAGGAGAAATGCTGATGAACGCTGACTGCATTTTTCCATGGCTGCAGGATTTCCTGACTAACGCTGAGAGTGTTTTTCCGTGTTTAAAGAGGTAAGGTTCTTCTTTTTTGTAACTTTTGATGTTCTTTTCATTCTTCGGACACAGGAATACGGTATCATTGTGGTGTGCATCAAAGCCATCGGAGACACGTTCTCTGTGTGGGGAGCCACAGAAGAGGGCAAGCTGGACTCCACTGTCCGCATCTTGGCCAAGGCGGTGAAACAGCTGGAGAGAGAGGAGGCCATGATCAGGCACGTGACCTCTGACCTTGATCCGAATATCGCCTGCCACAAGTTGATTGCTCTTCCCAATTTGACGAGGGATTTGGTGAAAAAAGCTCTAGATTCTGACCTGGCGGACTCGACATTGTTGAAGGTGAGTTCAAGGTTACGAGTTGTTCAACACTCTTCTTACGTCTACCTTGATTTTTTTTAAAAGGTGTACTTAAACTTACACAGCTCAATCAGATGATGATGGGAAAGAACTAGGATACTATTGTCTCGAGGCAGTGGAATCCGGTACTTGTCAATTTTTGGGCATATAAATATAAAGTTGTTAAAAAAATCTTATAGCCTGTCCATTTGCCTTGCTTCTGATGGAAGAAAAAAAATACCCATCTCAACTTGAATAGAAATCAAGATATGTGTGATTGAAGGAGGTAGGGGTCATTTTGGATGAAAGGTAAACTTTGCTAAAAATTGGCTGCCAAAGTGAGGGGACTTCCAAAGCTCAAGTGTCCTTGAAAACTGCAAATTTACATTTTTGTTTTGTTTCTATAATCAGCCCTTTTTGGGGGTTGGAGAGCACTACTGGCAGGCTCTTTTTTCTTTCCTTCTTTTGTTTTTGTCTGTCTATCTTGCTGACTATTTAATTATGCTCAATGGCTATTATTTTGTTGATGTGTTTCTCTTTACTTGCACACACAAACATAGGTTAAGTGTTAGCCTCTCATTCAAGAGGTCCCAGGTTCGAATCCGGATAGCGACAGAAATTTGTCTTTTCTAAAATTGTCTCCCTTCGCCTCGTTTCCTGCTCTCCAGTAGAGACGGGCAGGAAGCGCTTTTTCCTTCCCGAGCGAGAAGACCGGGAAGCTGACCTACTTCCCGCTGAGACCGGTCCCGGGAACGAGAAATACTTCCCGTCTCGTGTCTCGAGCAATACTTCTCGTCTCGTGACCAATTTCTCTTCTCGCCCCGCAGTTCGAGCCACTCGTTCAGCGAGAAGGCCGGCCGTGGCTGAGATTTCTCTTCTCGCCCCACAGAACGAGCAACTTGTTTAGCGAGAAGACCGTCGTGGCGGGGATCTAAACTAGAAACTAGGCTTGCCCTGTTGCGCAGGCGCAGGCTGTGAAGGAATGTTGGGAGACCGAGGCCTAGGCCCTGATCAACTCCCCACTTGCCTCGTCTCGCCACCCTCTCCCCTTCCTTTCAGTTTCACTCACAGGACGGCACGGTGATGGGTGGCACTGTCTGCGTTGTCATTTCTCGCCTCTCACTCTCTCACTCTCGTTACTGTTACTCGTTACGTCAAGCCAACGAGCAGTATCACGTCTCGGTACCGAGCAGTAGTTTAATGCTCGGGAAGTGACGGGAAGGCCGTTTCCCGCGAGAAACGAGTTCTCGGCTCGTCTCGTGCCCGCCCCTACTCTCCAGCAATGTTCTGCCGTCTGCTTTCGCCTCAACTTTCTGCCCCCACCCCCCCACCTGTCACCTCCTTTGCCCCATCCTTTGGGCTCCTGACTCTTTCTTTTCTGCAGCTTTTCTACTGCTACTCCTTGACCCTTTCTTACTGCTGTCTTTCAGCCACACCCCTGATCTTATGGTAGGAAAGATCTACACCTAACCTTCTCTGACAAGGACGAAAAATATCAGAGGTCCCATGTGCAAGTTACGCACGTTTAAGATACTTGGGTGGTCATAAATTAATTAGAGTAGGCTTCGGCTGCCAGCAGGGCAAAATTCACAATTTCCTACCTATTGAAAATGTTAAGTGTGTCTCGCGCTCTTATAATGACCTATGCAATTGCAAGCGCCCTAAAACAATAAACAAAAAAACAAAAGCAAAGAAAAACACACAAACATGTAGGTTGGTTGTTTTGTTTGTATTTTCTCCTGTCTATTTTCTCCTCTTTGTATGTGGTTGGAAGGTGCCACTGGTAGGTCCTAATTCTTTTTTTTTTTCTCTTTCTAGTTTTTGTCTGTCTGTCTGTCTTACTCTTTCTCTGCGCTTGATGACCATTATTGTATTGTTGTGCTTGTTTTTACTCTCACGAATTTCTCCTCTTTCTGTCTTTGTTAGTCGATGGTTGCCTTCTGCTCTGATGTGGTTTGCCCCTTTGTTGCCATCCACATCTATCATCTTTATCTCTCCTCCTTCTTTATGTTTGTTACTCTCCCTTGTAACACCTCTGATATATTTCACTTATAATATAACCTTCTTGTCTTGCAAGTGTCGTAAAAATCTAACTACTGAAAAATTAAAGCTTACTCAAACCAATTTGTCCTCTTTTCCGTCTTTGTCCAGAAACTAGATGATTTGACTCATGGCCTTGGAGCAGACGCCTTTCTGTGCCAGGATGAGTTGCCTGTAAAGTTCCGGTCAGTCTGGGACCCCCCAGACATAAATGTGGTCTCTCGCCTGGTCGTGTGGTGGTCTCAGCTCAAGAACAGCCTGTACTCAAAGCAGAACGAAATGACCACCCGCATTTTTCGCCAGGTCATCGGGAGGTAATGTTTAACTGTTTGTCGGATTGTGATGAGTAGCAATAATCTGAGTGTATAGTGCTGTAAAACACCTATTCAAACAAATAATGAGTAGCAGTTTTGTTAATGTCCGTAACAGTAGGTTCTCCCATTTTTGCACAATTACTTGTATCAATTTGTCAAACAGATCAACATTTTGGTAAACACCTGCTAGCTGTATTCCAGAAAATTCCTTAATAATTACTAACAAAAAATCCAAATGGGTGGTTTCTACAGAATTGTAAATGTTTACGGCTGGGGCAATATTGCTTTTAATAGCTAGTCCTTCGTGTTTTTCTAATCAGGACATAATGCTTATTAAACATGTTTTGACAACCATTAGTGGAAAAAATGTGTTCACTATAAAATTAATTTCTTGTAACAAGTTTTGCCCCCAAAATTTGTTACTGATGAGCTGTGACGTAAGCCATATGCGTAATCAAAATGTGTGTGAGAAGCGAAAAGTGTTGCGAACGATCCCCTTTACGTGTGACAGAGATTTCAGGTATTTTATATAAATTTATGAAAAAGAAAAGTGTTTTTTAATCCAGCCCCAATTGTTCTGGAAAACTATGATTTAGTTAAGACGAATTGATTCAAACTGCTGTGCAAAGTATGGATGACATTGATTCACCTGTTAAAGAGATATTTGAGGATAAGTTGCTCATGAATATAGAACTGAGTACCATCTGTAGATGCAAAAAAATGCATGCCCCTCAAAATGACACAAGGTGCAGGCTAATTATATAAGAATATGAACCAGATTGAGTTACCTCAATTTGAGGACTCAGTGAGTTGAGAAATAACCCTATCCCCCCCCCCCCCCCCCCCCCCCTGAAACATAAAATAACAGCCACGTCAGTTTTGGGTTGTTTTTTTCCTCCTCTCCCCTATTCCCCAATATATTGGAGTAATGGACAATCCCAATATTTGAGTAATGGACAATGGACATAACTATATATATATATGCACTACTAGTGTGAACATTTTGATTGTTTTCTAGACTCTAATTAATCAGTTTAGTATCCAGTCTTTCTCGTGAGCTCTGTGTAAAATCATATATCATTATCCTTGCACCAACTGGCCTCTTTGCACCTTCAGCAGTCCTGAAAAAAGGGTTCCGTACTCACATTGAAATTACAGTATGCTATGATAGTGACATCACCCCCCCCCTATTTCAAGTTTTGTTTGAGGTAACGTTATCACTTGTCCCTTCTAAATGCTGCTGCTTCTACTGTTGTCTTTTTTCTTTCTTTCTTTTTTCACCTTAGATACTGTGGCCTATTGTCAACTGTGGAGGTTTGGACTCAAACGAATCCTCGCATCGAAGTGCGGAGTGCGTCAGAGGCGGTCAGGCAGTGCGCCCAGAGGTTTGCCCGGTTTGTGCTTCTGCCCCACCAGCTGAAAATCCTGACCTCCAACGAGCCCCGGGTATATCTCTACGGGCCCCCAGGGTCGGGAAAAACTCTCCTTCTCCTCCTCAAAGCCAAGGAGTGGTTGCTTGAAGGACGCACGGTCATTATGATTAATGCGCGGGAGTTCAGTACCTCAGGGTTTCCTCTGGCCCATGGCCTCGAGAGGAAGATTCGGATGATGGTGCCAAATGGAAATTTGGAGCGCATTGATATCGACTCGATGAACTTTAAGTCTGAGATTCTGGCACACATCTTGCCGTCACGATGTGTCATCATGGATGAAGTGTCCGGGTCCTCGCACGAGATCGTTGAACATTTGTGTTCGCTTCAGCTGAAAGCCATTTGGTGTGCTGGCCTTTTCGAAGACGGTAAGCCCATCACGGCTCGAAGGTTCAAGGCATTCCCCTTGGACAAAATCCTACGCTGCACTCCCATCGTACAAAGCTTGTTGAGACACACTGAGCAAGAGGTGCGGATGAGCAAACCATATGAAAACTCGTACGCCCGTACATCCCTTGAGATTTCTGAAAGAGCTGTTTCTCAAGAAAGTGAAAAACTCAGTTCTTCAGAGCCTGATGCGACAAGTACAGAGCAAGTTGAAAGTGAAGTCACTGACATGGAAAGCGAAACTCCTCAACCTTCATTACAAGCGCAGAGTTCCAGTGAATTACTTTTTGGTACATCTTCACAACAGAAGGACCTTGCATGTCAGAACTCTTCTCCTGTACCTGCCAGTCATGTCAGTGGTCGCATCCTGAAGTCTGACCTTGTGGCCTGGAGAATCGAACAAAAGTATGGACTAAAGAAAAATGTGGTACATGGGACTGCTTTGGACGTAAGTTCTGTCGACGAGAAGCGCGGTCGTCCTTCAGTTCAGAATACGTTTGTGACCAGCAGTGCCTTGTTGGGTCTGCCGACAGACGGTCCCAGACCTCACATCATTGACCACCAGCGCCACCAGGTGGTCCACCTGCCCTCCAGCTGTCCAGTGTGTGGGGACGAGCTGTTTGCTTTTCTTCACTCCATGGTGAAGCAGGACGATGGGGACAAAGAGCATCAAGTCGGACCCAGCAAAAATAAGTTTGCTCTAAAATCCAATACCCCACGAGGGGGCAAGACTTTTCGTCATTTCAATCCATCACAGTCAAAAGCCAAGCAGTTCACCCCTGTGGGACAGAAGCTGCGGTCATTTTTGGACAGCAGGGCCTTGACTTGGTCGGACGTCCTCATTGTGTCGAGGATAGTGAACGAGAAGTCGGTACTTCTTCAAACATTGCGCCGGAACGAGGTCCCAGTTGAGGTGGTCCGAGGCTCCTCAACGGCCCGCATCGAAGACCCAAATGAGAAAAAGCTTTTTGTTATAGAGCCTAAAGAGGTGACGGGCTTAGAGAGGGCTCTGATTATCTTTGTTCCTTCAGAGGCTCCGGATGCACTTCAGGGAGCCCGGGAAGAGAGTAGCGGAGGGGTAGACAATCGGCTACCTGATCTGTTGTTGAATAATAGCGTTGGGAGGTACACGAGCGATGATAGAAACGCCCTCTGGTACATTGCCTCACGCAGCCTCTCCTCGTTAGTGTTGATTTTGCCGTAAAAGAATTCTCCATTGCGTGGCGTAGTAACGAGTAAAGTTGTGATTTGACGCTCAAAGGGTTTTACATCCCCCAACGTTGGCTTTAGATGTTCATCTTTTAGACAAGAATGTGCTCAGTGAAAGGCCAGCTGATAATTGAAGATGATTTAGGAGTCTGACTATTGTAAAATTATTTTAGAATCTGAGGCTGAAGATAGTTTAGTAATCTAATAATTCAGAATGAGTTAAGAATCTTGACCCTGTGAACACAGCATGAGTGCTTTGAAGGAACTGGAGAATTTTGTCCTTGGCCTTCTCACATTCCATGAGAGTTTGTCTACAGTGGAAGCTTTAGCTTGCGACTGCGTTGCCATGGATTGTGGTAGAATTTGTTTTTGTTCTTTTTCAGAGTGTTATCTCAATATCTGAAAAGTTATCTTACAGTATTGTTGTTTTTACCGATCTTAGCGTCATTTTCATTGCTGCTTTTCCATGGAAAATTGTGAAGTGCCAGTTCAGTTGTTATATAGTTTGTTCGGGTGCATGCTTGATACCGGCATCTTTGGTGTGGTGGTAACGGTTATTTGCTTTGCACACAACCGACTTGAGTTTAATTCCCATATATTTACTTTATGGAGTATCTCTCTGTCTCCTCGGATGCTGTATCCCACTCGGACAACTGTGGCAGGCTGGATCAAATGCAGCAGCCTACCTCTTAAATCATATAACTTTTGTCAATAGAGACTTATAATATTTACCATTGTGTGTGTTCTTAGAGTCTGGTCTTAAAGGCTGAAGACAATAATGTTGCTGTATGTGAGGCGCTGGGCAAATCTTATTTTCTCTAAGTGTACTAGCCGCAGACGGGGGAAGCTATGGCTGGGCTTCATGTAGGTTGATGTTTGTCCAGACATGAAGGACAGTCGAACCTGTCCAAGACGGAAACCTGTCAAAACAGAATCTCCTCGCTTTCCCTTGATAAATTCCATGCGGTACCCTGTTCAACCAGGAAATGTAAAGGAAAAACTCTTCTACCTTCAGAGGGTTTTGATCTATCCAAGGTAGAAAATGCTTTACCGGCTCAACCCTTCTAATTTGAAACAAACTCCCAAGTCTGGTTCCACCAGCTCTTACCTTTGAGGGTGAGTTGGCTGATGCTGCGGTGTGGTTTAGGGGTATCTGTTACTGTTACCCCATCCATGTGAATCCTGAGTGGTGCAGATGGTCAGGGTGATGTGAGTGAGAAATCTCAGCACTGCTTGTGAAAGTGCTGAAGACGAAAGTGCTTAAAAATGGTGCTCCACCATGGAAACCGTCCTGGGTAGCCAGAGGTCTGCCACCCTGATCATATAGCCAGACGTGAAAATAGTTTTTCGAGTCATTTTTACGTACAGGGGAGGGATGGCATGGTAATAATAGATGGGGGTTAAGGTGGAAACAAAGGGGACTTTCCATTATTTCTATTTTCAATTAGTTAAACAATGGGCCTTGGAGATGCAAGCACTTGTGGAAATTGGCAAGCCATTTAGTCATGGTCGGTTAGGCTAGGATGGTGTTTGGGAGGTGTGACGTTTTGACCACTGCCTGTCAACCAGACAGGTGACCCTTGATCCTACTACATAATGGCTGGCCCTCTTGAACCCCCACCCCACCCCTCCCCCTAAATTGCCTTGTCCAAGAAGGAAAATGTCTAAGACAGAATTTCTTTTTTACTCCCTTGCGATTCCCTCTTGGACTGGTTCGACTGAAATCATAAAGAAGACTATGTCGTATGTTGCATGGCTCTTTTTGGTAGTGTAGTTAATGTTACATCAGATAGTAGATACTAGTGTCAACCAATGAAAATGTAGTGCTATATGAATGTTTCCACAAGCAATGGTAGTAAGGTGACATCAAAAGGCTTCCAGGGTTCACACAGTGTTTGTTCATTGCTTTGTTTGTAAGTTTTTTTTAACAGTTTTGTCCCCAAAGCGCACTCAATGAAAGACTGGTATGAATTGCCTTAATGTACAATCATTAGATTTGATGGAGAGGGACTGGCTTTTTAAGGAGAAATTTCCTAATGATTAGCGCAGACTATTCACATTATGGATCCATCATAAACATTTGTCCCCCTTTGTATATATATATTATTACAGTGTCTGCAATTTTTGCCTAAAATGTGCTCAGTGAAAGGCTTGTAGAAATGACATCAATGTGCAGTCACTGAATTTATATTGGAAAATATGTATGTCCGGTATTTATTCTTTTACTAAACATTTTTTAATTTCTGAAAAATAATATATATAACACAAGCTATAGTGTCTTTTAAATAAGTTTTTCCCCCTTTTTATATTATATGTAATGTAAGCAGTTCTTTTTTTTAAATTCTGCAAATTCACCATAGAATGGTGTCTCTGCTCTGTTAATTTTTCATTTCATTTTACTTGTCTGAATGTCTCTTGCTTTTTTTTTTCATTATGAGCGTTTCTGTTCCCTGGTTCAATTCCCCAACACATTCTCCTTGAACCTGGGTTGTTCGAGCAGTTTTCATCGAAGATAGAAATTAAATCACAAGTCCCACGTCTCAGATAACCTTGTTGTGTGAAAACGTTAACATACTATCATCAGCATCAGCATTTCTCACCCTGTGCCGGAGTATAAGCCACTAACAAGAGCTGTCTATGTACATTTGTCTTGGGTCTTATACTATATAAAAAGGACGGATGGGACTGAGTTAAAGACTATAGGTAATAGCCTCCAACTCTGTCACTTTAAGTTATAGTCTCCAACTCTGCCTCTATGGTCACTATAAGTTATAGTCTCCAACTCTATCCCACCCTTCCTTTTTTATGCCAGGCCTCTTTGATTTTAGTGAACAGGTTTTTTTTACTGTATCCAAGAAAAGGAACTGTTTCTCCCATCCCCCTCTCATCTATACACTTCGTCGTCGCATGTGGTGAAGATTGGTTACAATGTAACAAGTTTTTACTTCACTGTGTTATTAGTGTTTTATCGAAAACCAACAGCAATGGCAATAATGCTAAATTAGTATATATTGTGTCAGCTTCTGAAGCTTTGATGACAGGGCTTTTTTTTTTGTGCTTATCTGCTAACGAAACTGTTGATTGCTTAAATTGTTACTTCTGTTTGATTAATTTATAACTAAAATGACTAGCTAATGGTTGAGGTTTTAGCCCTTTTTCAGTGAGAAACTTTTGTATCAATGCGTATTTTTGAACTCTAATAAACAAACAAACAAATACAGTCATGCTCTAATACCCACCTGTTTAAGACTATCACCTATAGAAATAACAGTTTCTCACTTCTCCTCTTGGGTTTTTAAAATTTATAATGGTACTGTCCAAGACGTCCACCTGTCTTAGACAACAACTTTTCTCAACAACGGGTGGCCGTCTTGGACAACTTTGACTGTATTTGTCCTGTCATCATTAACTTCAGAACTGTCAAGGCTGAAAAAATGAAAAAGACAAACAAAAACTTGTGGAGGCCAGCATGACAGAAGGCCCTACTTCCACTTTCTGTGCGCGAAGATTAGAACATTTGCTCCCAGGTTTCAGAAGAATTAAAGTTATGTTGAATAAAACCCAGTAGTGCCATTGTATTCAGCTTCTTTTCATTTCTTATTTCCATTTCATAAGAAACTGTCATGATGAGCAGAGTTGTTACAGGTTTTTTTTCAAAATCAATTATATGACCTTGTCCGCTTTCATCAGTCAAGAGTTGTTTGTAATTTTGTTCATTGTTACAATCGTATCATTCCGTCTGAACATGCAGAATGAAAGAGGAGTCTATGGATTATCATGTCGGAATTACTTTGATTTTGCTAGTCTTAAAGTAGACATGTCCAAAAAAACCTTTTTGTGCATACAACTGGAATGGAAAAGTTGGACAGACTAAATGAATTTGACTTTTTACTTCATTTTGCTTTTGCAAACAGCTTTGTGAGATCCAATCTTTTTATTCTAAGGTTCCCTTGAAGACATACGTGTGTTTCCTGTGATTAGATATTCTAGCAGGGTTTTGTATTTTCTGGGTCTTGCCTATATTGTACCCAGCAGCTTTGCTGTGTTGGAACATTGAACTGGTTGAAGATTTAAATGATAACCTGTGCACGAATTGTGGTTTTTTTGAAGGACAGAGTTACGAAAACAACCCGCAATCAAATAGTTGAAACTCAATGTTGAACAAGAATTCCAAAGAATGGACCCAGAAACATGCCATAGCTTTTTAAAATTTCCAGCGGCATACCCGAGATTGTCTAGAGAGAAATGGTCAACACCTGGACCATATAATTTAAACGGCCGTCACCTTCTCCAAGTTTGTTTGGCAATGTCAGTTTCAAATAAGTTTGTTCTTTAATGCACAAATACCCTTTACGGTTGAGTTTTCGAAAGATTTACTCGGTTGTGGTTGAAATGTTGAAAACTTTGATCTAATTCTTCCAAAATGCTGTGTTGGATTTTCTTATTATTGACAAATTTGAAGTCCCCTTGATTGAAATCTATTTGTTTTGTTTCATTAAAATTGGTGTAAAGACGACCAAGTTATTGCTCTTTTAATGGGTCATGATATTTTTTTAAGACATAAAAGATATTTAGGTTGGAACAGGATGGTGAGACTGCAGAATATCGCAAATAAAATTTTTTGATATTCTCAAATCCCACATGAATAAAAATTCGGAGACGTTAAATAACCATTAACTTTCACTGCGAAAAATACAGTATAATAATAATGTCACCTCAGTTGTTTTTTTCTCAATATTTCATACGTCTCTTGAACATTTGAGTGAATGGTGAGGTTTTTTGGCCCTTCTCAGTAGTCCACTCTTTTAAGACAAATTTTAATGTCTGTGGAATAACAATTAGGGACTTCACCAAGCACACATAAAACATGAGTCCTAAATACTTTCCTGCATGAGGTAGTTTATTCTATGGAGCATCTCTGTAGACCGTTTTGTCCAGGTACGCCCTGATAGGCAGGGTCAAAGCAGCCGGACTCCTTATTAATCTCAATTTTGTGTTGGTCTGGTTGAAATCATTTACAATCGCAGTCAACACAATTTTTCAACCCACTACGCAATCATTAGATGCTGGAGGATGAAAAGTTTGCCGTAGGGCTATTCCACGGTAACTGGCAGGGCCTTTGGACTATACTTTCTTACAATGATCACTGTAATTCAATATCAATTGATTAATTTAGTTCAACTTTAAATGGTCAGGACATTTTAAAGTCATATTACGAATCATATTAAATGCAGTCATTTGAAAAAAAAAAGTACTTAATGCAAATTCTGCGACTTGTTTAGTTCCGGTAACTGACGCAACAAATGAGGTATTTTTTTTCTGTCCTGTCAGTTACTGAAACTAAACACGTCTCAGAATTTGCATAAAGTCCTTTTTTTAAAATGACTGCACTTATATATTTTTCAAATGTTCTGATCATTTAAAGCTAAAATAAATCAATTGATTTTGAGTTACAGTGTTACCATTGAAAAAATGTTTAGTCCGAATGTCCTGTTAGGTACCATGGAATGGTCCAGTATTCATTAAATGATTTATTAGTTTTCTAGTGTGGATGTTTTGCAGTTGCTTTTACACCAACCAATGAAATTTTATCATAATTTTAGCCCCACCCTCCTTTTTTTTTAGCTTTCATTGTTTTACTTTATTTCATATGTATCGATTATTTGATTGCTGATGTTGTTGTTTTTGTCAAACAGTAATCCAGGCTTTTGCGGGGGGGTTTTTCTTGCGACTTTGATTCTCAGTAAACAAGAAAGAGTAAACAGTTGTATTATGAATCAGACCTGTTTTTCTTGGGAAATGAGAGAGAGGGGAGGGGGTAGGGGATGAAATGAATAGACCCGTTGCACTGGAGCAGAAGGTGCAATGCATCAAATGGTGGAAAAGCAGAGCTGAACATAATCATAATGATCAGGTGCAAATATTATCTTTTGTGTATCGTTCCTGATTTCTGTCCTCTCTTCATTCATTCCTCCTAATACTTAAAAATGACCTACATATGTATTTATGTCCAGTAGGATGTTCAACAAATGTTGAAGTTTTGACTGATAATGAGTACTAATATTACTACTACCTTGTAAATTACATTCATTCTACATGTATCTTGATATTAACGAGTGAAACTTCATCTCTTTAACATCTTTTCATAACTTGTGCCAAAAACCAATGGGAAAATGTAGTACATAACAGTGCCTTCAAGACCTCAACTACAACTTGATTTTTTTAAGCGACTGCGTGTTCTGCTCAGGGTGATATATATGTATGAAGACTTCAGCTCCACAAATCTCTTTGAAACATGGACCATCTCTTTCTTTTTCTTCTTCATCATGGATGATTGCTGGATGCCATTGGTAGGCCTCACTTGTTTAGTTTCCCTCTCTTGTTTCCTCACACACTAGCGTCTGTGATGTAGTTTTTTTAGGCGTTTCACCATTGTGTGAAGAGGACCCAATTTCAATTCCTGTGGGGGAAAGAATTTTTACCGAGTCTCTCTGCTGGGATATTATTGTATCCCTCTTAGCTCGATTTGGCAGGGTTGAAGCCGACCTCCTAAATTATCGAAATTTTGTCAATTTTGACACATACATTAAAATTTGACCACCTTGCTTTCTCCCTGCACTAAATAACTGTGTCGATGTGCTTCTCTGTGCTCATACTCGAGCTCAAACCTCTTCATCCCACTATGTAATTTAACATCCTCAGTGCCATAAGCTATTTCCTTTTTTTTTTTTACCTGGAAATGAATGTTATATTTGTCTGTGTGGCTTACTTTTTCCCAGCACTTAATGACCGTTAGTGAGTCGATGTGCTTCTCTTTACTCAAACAAACAGTACTTTGAAATCCTTTGTGCATCAATTTTTCTGCATCTGAGCATGATTTTCTCATTGATTAAATTCAAAGGTTTTATATATATTCTCAATTACAACTGCTTTCCATGTGTATCTGGTTCACCTACCACCATAAAAGTATTTTTGTAACAATTTTCCTGATTTGTCGATTTCGAAAATGTTGATTTCACACTGTGATGAACAGTTTGGCAGTTGGAAACACTTTTATTATTGGGTAGCCTTTATTATTTTTTATTCAGTTGTTCTGCATGCTTTATGCTTTCATTCGTGCATACGAGGCCGTCATGGAATTGTACTTCTTTAAACAAAATATTCATATATTTTTTATATGTTACATTTATGTAAATATTTAACAGCATTTTTTAGAGCAGCATAGCGTTCATGCTACATTGTTGTTCAAGTTTGCGCTTGGGAAAATTTTTTCGTAGTGTTCCAAAGCCTTTGTAAATGTGATGGTTCATTTACTTGTTTATGCCAATTAAACTGGTTCATAACCCATTCTCTGGTTTTTGTTCCTACGTGTAGTTTCTGGAATATCCTGACTGAATGAATGTCTTTGAATGAATGTCTTGGTGGTTGGTGAATGTCATGGTGTGTTTTTCTCCTCTGCTTTCATTCTTCCAGTAGGTTTTGCACTTTTCTTTGAAAGCAATTTAAAAGTGTCACTTCTGGGTCCAACCTCATCTTTACCTTTTTAGGTTGTTTCTGTCTGTCTGTCTGTCTGTCTGTCTGTCTGTCTGTCTGCCTGAAGTTTTTGTTTGTTTGTTTTGTTGGGGTTTTTTTTTGGGGGGGGGTATTTTTCCTTAGAATGAAATCTTTCTAAGTGGTGTGATTTGCTCCTTCTTTCCTATCTAACATTTGTTGCCTTTGTCTCTCTTCTTTCTTTTTTGTTGTAGTTACTCTTTTGTAACACTTCTAATCTTTGGCACTTATATGACCTGATTGTGTTACAAGTGCTGTAAAACTTTTCCTGAAACGAAATCACTAATCTATATTGCGTTGATATTGGCGTTTCACGGTCAAAAACTGAGCATGAGACCTCTGAAGGCCAAGTATTAAAGAAATTCAGTAATCAGTTTGGAGTTTGAGTCAATTAAATGCCATCTATGCCTATTGACTCGATAAACAACTTTTTAAAAAATCAAATTAAAACAAACTACATGTACTTCTTTTATTTGTGTGCATCTCTAAGTTTAAGCACTTACATTATGATCTTT